GATAGACAGACAGACAGACAGATAGACAGACAGATAGATAGATAGTTGTCAAGGTGGGGTAATGTTTGTAAAAAAGTATACTAGGTAGGTCAAATATGGATAAAGTTAGGGTATCAACATCTTCTCACAACATGATCTGGTAGAAAATTAGGTAGAATTCTGTCCGAATATTATTAGGCTATATGTAGAAAATGAAAAACATCCGGATCAGTGTAGATCATTTTTAAGATTTGGTCTATAAAACAGGTGGTTGTTGTTTTGTAAGTGGCTTGTCGTATTGTCAGTGCAGTGGTGCAGCATGCGTGCACCTGAAGGGGGTCTGCATGCACCAGCAGAGCAGCTCTTTGATCGCGCGTCAAACCGCATGTGACGCGCTCTGAGTGGGGCTGTAGCCTACATGTAGCTTCGGTGAGCGACATTGGCCCTGTAACGTTCAGTCAGCTTTGAAAATGTGACGTTAGGGTACACAAAGGCTATTACATATATGCACGGAATGTTTCTGTTTATGGCGTCCGCGCGATTTGTTCTTTCACGTTTTTAAGATCTATTTAGCCTATGCACAACTAGACATGAAGTGTGAATATCACACGCGCACTTTCAAAGACATTTTCTGTTTCTTTCACTCTCATTCACTCAAACGCGTCTTACGAAATCGTAGTCAGGATATACAGTAAAGTTACAAATGCTGAATGAAAAATGCTCATCTATAATTTACACACGGAAAACACATGCATGAAATTAACCTCACTGTATGAGCCATTTTTTGCAATTAATTTGAACTGGGTGTCATGGTGATTAGTGGAGGTATGCATTCAGTTCTCCTAAAGTAACATATTTGTTGTCTTCATTCGAGACTGTTGGTGGTTTAAAATCTTCATTTTGTGAAATGTTTTGCATGAAAGTGTGTTTGTGCTATCATATCTAGGTGGGAAAACTCAAAAAGGTCTGCAGTATCACCTGACGTCATGGCAGGGTCACAAAATAGCCTAATGTTTCCCAAGAAGAGTGGAAAAATGTTCATCGCTTTGTAAGAAAGCTTCAGACCAGCTTTGTTCTGTAGGCGTTCAGCGAGTCTCCAAATAATGTGAGAATGGGTGAGAATGATGCTGCCCACACAGTTACATCACAAGCAACAGCGCCACCTCTCTTCTATATTTCGCAACGCGGTCTGACGTCTTTAGCCTATATTTACGTCGCCTGGAAATTAACGTAACATTCACGTAGGCCATGTAGTTACACAGTGGAAATATGAATTTACAACATTAGCAACAAAAACAAATCTGTTGACGAACCTGTCAGGTATACAAATAAAATAAAATAAATAAAATAAAATAGACAATATAATAGCCTAATAAAAATCATAACACGACTTATACATATATAAAATAATAACTTTAACAAAACAATTATTGCTGTTATTTAAAAAATACATTAAATTATATATTATTTTATTAAATAATAATAATAATAACATAACTTATTATTGACTAAATAACAGTTTCATAAATAACAACACTTATTATTACATTATAATTTAATAACAATAATAATAAACAAATAATAATACAATTGCATCATAAAACTGCAACAAAACTAATAATTTTCTTATAATAAATAATGTATTTATGAATATTGTGGCACGGCTGCAGTTCTCCACTCCGGCCATGGCGGCTCTTAGCCTAACAATTATATCCCAGCAGGCCATTGGTGGACACGGCACAAGACAGCGCTGGAACAATAAAGCGCCCCCACTCCCCGACAGTATTAATCTATTATTCACGCACCTCCCCAATTCTGCTTCCCAATTTCTCATGCTTTCTTGTACTTATCTGAAAAGCTTATTGAAGGACAATGGGAAAATTTATGTTTTGTATATAAAATTACATAGATTATTGGCCACATTTTTAGGGGGTGTTTATTGATTAAATGAAGAAATTAAAATATTACAGGTGGGAGGCATGACCACTATAATTGGTTTATATCTGATAATGCCTATTTTTGGAAAATGTATTAAAATACTTTACAAATTACAGGTGCAGCGTATTTAAATATTTTATATTTATGCATTTATAATTATGTTTAATGTTTGATAGAATAATAATAATAATAATAATAATAATAATAATAATACAATTACATCATAAAACTGCAACAAAACGAATAATTTTGTTATAATAAATAATATATTTATTAAAGGGGTCAATTTGCGATTTAAAATTTTCCTTTCTCTTTGGAGTGTTACAAGCTCTTGGTGCATAAAGAAGATCTG